TTTTAAAAAGTGAAGCCGGGCTCGGTGGCTCAGCCTGTAATCCCGCGTTTTGGGAGACTGAGGTGAGTGGATTGCCTGAGCCCGCAGGTTCAAGACCTGCCTGGGCAACTTGGCGAGACCTCATCTCTACAATAGATCAAAAAAACTAGCCGGGCTCAGTGGCTTAGCCTGTAATCCCGTGCCTTTGGGAGGCTGAGGTGAATGGATTGCCTGAGCCCGCGGGTTCGAGACCCGCCTGGGCAACTTGGCGAGACCTCATCTCTACAATAAATCAAAATGAGCCGGGCGTGGTAGCGTGCGCCTGTAGTTCCAGCTACTTGGAAGGCTGAGGCGAAAGGATCACCAGAGCCCAGCAGGTCGAGGCTGCGGTGGCCGGGAGCGGCCACTGCACTCTAGTCTGGGTGACAGAGTGAGACTCCAACTCAAAGAAAAAATAAATAAAATAAATAAAATAAAAATTGAGCTGGGCACAGTGGCTCAAGCCTGTAATCCCAGCACTTTGGGAGGTGGAGGCGAGAGAATTGCCTGAGTCCAGGGGTTTGAGACCAGCCTGGGCAACTTGGGGGGACCTTGTCTCTACAATAAATAAAAAAATTAGCCAGGAGTGATGGTGCATACATGTGGTTCCAGCTACTTGGAAGGCTGAGGTGGAAGGATCACCTGAGCCCAGCAGGTGGATTGAGCTGTGGTGGCCATGAGTGTGTCACTGCATTCCAGCCTGAGTGACAGAGTGAGGTGCTTACTCAAAACAAACAAACTAAGAACAACTACAAAAAAAACCCAAAATTGAGTTTAAGCCAGTTCAACAGAAAATATAGATGGCCAAACATATGAAAACATACTCAACCTAATTCATTAGAAAAATGCAAATTAAGACAACTTTTTCATCTATTAAGTTGGCAAAAACGAAACTGTTTGGTAACATGCTGTGTTGCATGAGTGTGTGGAAACAAGTGATCTTTTCATTGCTGGTGGGAAATATATATGGCACTATTATTTTAGGCAGCAGTATTTATCACAATTATAAATGTTTATATCCTATGACTCAGTAAATTTGCTTCTAGAAATTATGTAAGTATTCTTATACAAATACAATATTATGTTTGTATAAGGTTATTCACTTAGCACTGTTTGTAATAGTAAAAACTATTGTTAATGACTGAACTGTTGGTCACTAATCAAGTAAATTATAATACAGCCACACAGTGGAGTATTTGCAGCCCTAAAAAGGGTTTGTTTGTTGTTTTGTTTTTTTTTTTTTAACTGGAGTCTCACTCTGTTGCCTAGGCTGGAGTGCAGTGGCACACTCACGGCCACCACAGCCTTGACCTGCTGGACTCAGGCGATCTTTCCACTTCAGCCTCCCAAGTAGCTGGAATTACAGGCGTGTGCCACCATGCCTGGCTAATTTTTTTGACTTATTTTAGAGATGGGTCTCGCCAAGTTGCCCAGGCTGGTCTTGAACCCCTGGGGCTCAGGCAGTCCTCTTGCCTCTGCCTCCCAAAGTGCTGGGATTACAGGCGTGAGCCACCATGCTGGGCAATGAAATCTTTCTGAATTGTTATGAAATGATCTCTGTAACATATGCATATACACACATTTATGAAAGGCATGCATGAAATTATCACATAAACATTTCATATGTGTGTGTGTACTTGTGAAAACAGGCTTTAATAACTTTATGTGAAAATCCAAGATGAAGTGTAGTGAGTAGAGTATGCCACCATTTTTATGAACAGGAGGGAAATATATTGGTACCTATATGCTTATATGTGTATGTAATATTTCCAGAAAGATGCAAAATAAATTGCTAACATAGTAGGAAAGCTGGGGATCTGGAGCTGAGGATCTGGAGCTGAGGATTTTATTTATTTATTTATTTATTTATTTTGAGTTGGAGTCTCACTCTGTAGCCCAGACTGAAGTGCAGTGGCCGCTCTGGCCACCGCAGCCTCCACCTGCTGGGCTCTGGCGATCCTGTCACCTCAGCCTTCCAAGTAGCTGGAACTACAGGTGCGCGCTACCATGCCTGGCTAATTTTTTGATTTATTGTAGAGATGAGGACTCGCCAAGTTACCCAGGCGGGTCTCGAACCCGCAGACTCAGGCAATCCACTCACCTCAGCCTCCTGAAGTGCAGGATTACAGGCTGAACCACTGAGCACGGCTGACTTTACTTTTTTATGTTCTTTTGAAACCTTTAAATAAAAATACTTTTCTAATATTTCTACATACAAAAGACTATAACATAAGTAAGATATAAAGAGTAATAATAGCTTGAAATTCTGAATACTCACTATTAAGTTTTTAAAAAATAGAACATTATCAATACTTCCAAGGGACCCATGTGCCTTTTTCTTATTTCAACTACTTCTTCCTTGGAGGTAACCACTTTTCCTGACTTTCTATCTTAACACTCCCTTATACAGTTTTAACATACATAAATATGTACCCCTAAATACAATATTGTTCAGTTATGTGTTTTTGAAATCATACCAAATGAATTCTTTTGCCACTTGCTTTTTTTTTATTGTATGTTATATTTGTGGAAATCACCTGTGTGCATGTAGTTTTATTTTATAGGCCTATAACTTTCTATTATAGGAATATAATGGAAATATATTTATTCTATTGTAGAAAAAGGTTTGCGTTCTTTCCTGTAGTTTAGCTATTACAAACAATGATATATATTATATATTATTCTTGCACATGTTTCTTCGTACACATATGCAGAGTACATGCCTAGAAGTGGTATTGCTGCATCATTGAGATATGCATGTTCGGCTTTATTGGGTAATGCCATATTATTTTCCAAAGTAATATTTTAATTCACAGGTTTATCTACAGGGTGTAAAATTTACCTTTAGTTGACATTTTCAGTCACCTCTGACTTTTTTTTAAAGACTTACCAATCTCATGTAAAGCAGTGCTACACAAATTATATGACCTGTAAACTGTTATCTGTCCATAATAATATCAAAGCTTCCATGATTGAGAAAATTTTGTGGGAAAAAATATTGTCATTTGAACTCAACAATGTACTTAGTGATGTGGTTGATTTTCACGCTAGTGTAATCTTAATTTGGTTACAGACCTGCAGTAGATACACTGACCACATCCTTTAAGTAACACTGATATAAAATGATACTTTATTGTGGCTTAAATTTATATTTACCTGATTACGTTTCTTTTTTTGAGGGGGGGGTCGGAGTCCCCATTCCGTCGCCCAGACTGGAGGGCAGTAGCACTCTTCCGACCACCGTAGCCTCGACCCGCTGGGCTCTGGCAATCCTTCCGCCTCAGCCTTCCAAGTAGCGGGAACTACAGGTGTGCGCTACCACACCTGGCGAGTCTAGAACCCGCGGACTCAGGCAGTCCACTCTCCTCGGCCTCCCAAAGTGCTGGGATTACAGGCCGAGTCACTGAGCCTGGCCTACCTGATTACTAATAAGGAGTGCATCTTTTCATATATTTATGCATCATTTGTGTTTCCTTTTCATTTACATACCTGTTCATCTCTTTTGTTCATTTTTCGACTAGGTTGATTTTACATATCTGAAATATTACTCCTTTATCAGTTATATGTGTTGCTAATATATTCTCCCAGTTTTTGGCTTATGTTTTTATTTTCTTTAAAGTATATTTGATAGCCGGGCTCGGTGGCTCAGCCTGTAGTCCCGCACCTTTGGGAGGCTGAGGTGTGTGGATTGCCTGAGCTCGCGGGTTCGAGACCCGCCTGGGAAACTTGGGGAGACCTCATCTCTACAATAAATCAAAAATAAACCGGACGTAGTAGCACATGCCTGTAGTTCCAGCTAATTGAAAGGCAGAGGCGGAAGGATCGCCGGAGCCCAGCAGGTCGAGGCTGCGGTGGCCGGGAGGGGCTACTGCGCTCCAGTCAAGACGACAGAGTGAGACTCCAACTCAAAAAAAAAAAAGTATATTTGATAAATAAAAATTCTTAACACAAATGTAGTCACTTTTAGGTTAATACTTTTTGGGTCTTTTTTGTGAAATTGCTTCCTCCCTAACTGTCAGAGAGATATTTTTCTATATTCTGAAATCCTTTAAGTTTTGCCATTGACATGCAAATCCTTAATCCCATCTAGATTTGATTTTTCTGGGTGTGGTATGAGATCCAAATATGGTGGTAAGATCCAAATATACTCGTTTCCTGATGGAAAATCACCCATCTCAGCACCACTTATTGAATTCTTTGCATGGAGATTTGCAATAAAATTTCTGATATATTCCAAATATCCATATTTGAATTGCTGGGCCATTGCTGGGCTATTTTGTAAAATTAGTTGGTCTTTATCTGTTTGTGCCAACATCAAAGTATCTTAATTACCATAACTTTATAACAAATCTTCATCATTGGTAGGGTAAGTCCCCCACATTGTTTTTATTTTCAGAAGTACTTGGGCACCTATAAATGAATGAATGAAAGGTAAATTATTTTAAAAATCCTGGGATACGTATACATATTCCCTAATAAGAGAGCTAACATACTTGAAGAGCCTAACACTTTGGGAGGTCAAAGCAGAAGGACTGTTTGAAGCTAAAAGTTTGAGATGAGCCTGAACAGCATAGTAAGACCCTGCTTCTACAAAAAAAAAAAGAAACAATTAGTCAGACATGGTGACTCGAACCTGTATTCCTAGCTACTTGGGAGGCTGAGACTGGATGATAGTATGAGTCCAGGAATTCAAGGTTACAGTGAACTATGATGGTGCTACTACTCTCCAGCCTGGACAACAGAGTTATATCCTGTATCTATTAAATAAACAAATAAATAAGAAGATAAAATTGTTTAAATATTGGATGTGTTTACCAGTTTTAGTTTTGAGAAGTGCGGTTTCCATTATTACATTTTTAAAAGAATGATTAAGAATCATAAGCTATTGAATGTTTTTGTTTTAAAAATACTGACTTTTAGAATATAAAAAATAATGAGTATAATTATTTAATGTTAATGTTTTATGTTTTTTTCCTTTCAAGTCTTGATACATCACCAAAGGCATAGTCTTTCCAAGATGGTTTATCAGACATCTCTTTGTTCTTGTTCTGTAAATGTTCAGGTACCCAACAGACATTTTGCTGCTGCTACAAAGTAAGTATTTTTAAGTTATTATTTCAATTACTATCATTTAAAATTTTTATTAACAAGCATGAATAGTTCCATAAAGATTCACAGGGATATATAGTTGTAAAAGTTTATCATGTTTGCTTCTTTGACTTTATAGTCCTGAAGGAAAGACAAGACTCATCATAATAATACCTAACATTTACTAGACACTGACTTTCAGTAACTAACTTATTCTCCACAACAATTTTATGAGGAAGCTCTTATTATTACACTCATTTTATAGAGAAGAAAATCAAGGCACAGATAGGTTATATAACTGGCCCAGGGTCAGAGAGCTAGTAAGGGTTGGAGCTAGGGTTTGAATCCAGGGAATTTATTATAGAAACTACGTTTTTTTCTGGTATGCTACAACTGCCTTTTTAGAACAGAACCTACTGTTCCAATTAATGAATTTTAATTAAGGTGGATTCTGTGTGTGTAGTTCTTTCTGCTGTTTAAATTTTACATTTTTTTCCTCTTAGGTACTTTTTGTAGATCAGTTGTCATAGGACTATGATTACGTAGTAGAATTTCAGATGTGTGTAGTGTGTTTTTCTCTTGGGCTGTTATCTCTTTCTGCTTTGTGAACATATTTGTTTATTATGGATATTCATTATTTTGAGAACATTTTATCTTTAAATATTGTTTTAGCTTATCCTCTAGACATGCTTCATTTGATGTCTTCTCCAAGTTCTGCTCCAGTACAATTTTAAGCATACTTTTCAAAAACCTAGAAAACATAGTGCAGAAATATGCATACTTTTAAAATTTAAAAGCAAATGTTTTTTTATGTCTGACATTGTTATTTAGTAGCTTGATGAGAATTATAGTATTCATACTTAAAGGTTTTTATTTTTAATGTGTTGACTTTGTAAAATACTAAAAATAGCTTTTTTTTATGGCTATTTTTTAAAATCAGGATCTGAAACAGCAGAGGGACCTGTGCTGGCCTCTCTCTTTTCTGTCAGTCTGGATCTCCCCACGCCTGTGTATGTGCAGGCATATGTTCCCTATTTGCCAGTAGCTGATCCAGATTTTAAAAAGCTCACTGGTTTATCTGAGTTGGGTTTTTTTCTCTCTTTACAGTGTTTCTTTTTTTCTTCTTCTTTGTATAGCTCATAATTTTTTATCCAATACTGGATATCTTGTGTAGAACAGTGGAGACTGCAGTAAATAATATGTCTGCAAATGGACATGCTTCTTCATCTGTCAGAGCATAGAATCTATCTAGTCAGGAATTGAGCTAGATTTTCATTTCCTTGTTGTCATGGTTACCAGCAGCTTCAAATTTCTGTGTAGTTTCCTTGTGCTTAGAATGGGGGTTGGGGTTGCTAGAGGGTTTTTCTCCATGTTTCTGCTCCGTGCTCAGCTTTCCGCCTTCCCTGTGCAGCTGAGCCTCAGAGGGGAGTTGCTCACTATTCTTTCCCCCTCCCCTAGCTGTAGACTGCTGTTTCTTTTTACTCAGTGCTTGCTAGGCTGGTGATGGGTGGTAGGAGGACTTCTCTTTTCCAGATCCAGCCCTTTTCTTAAGTAGGCCCAGTGCAGCTGAATCGTGGGAATGGGATTTTCTCAGCGTTTCTGTCCATTCTGCCCATGGTATCATGAATCTCTTGCAGGTCTTGTGGGGAAGTTTCCTGGCCCTTCCGTAGCTGCATTGGTATAGGATACTGGGCTTGGGATTGTTTTCTGCCATACTCCCAAAGGAAGAAGATTTTTCTTTTTTTCTGTCAGACACAATGGGTGCTTACCTATGCCTTTTCCACCATGCCTGCAACCCTCTGGGGAGTCATTCTAGTCTCCTGCTTTGTTCCAGTCTTTCCTGGGAGCACCTGGTGGAAGGTGTGTGGAAAAGGGCCTATGAATTCAATGTGGATTCTCGTGTGTCTGAATCTCCAGTTTAATACTGTCAGGCTAATCCTAAATTTTGGTAGATTGTTTCTTACCTCCTTGTCTTTCTCTCATGCTCTGCCACAGGGGAGACTGTGATGGGGTTGGGGTCAGGGACTGATTCTCCTCGAATTTCGGGATACTTGGTTGCATGGAATCTCTGCTCTGTGATCAGATCAAGAAAAGCTATGGTTTCATTCATCCGTTTCTCATTGTTTATGGTCTTTCCAAGCTTTTTTACATTTTAAGTGGAAGGAGAGCTTTTGCATTTGGTTTAAAAGGAATGAATAAACCGGCATCAGAGATGTTATGAATTTATTTATGTGATTACACTGAGAAATATGAATTCCAGATATTTTCATTTCATTAACATGTTCTAGGCATTTTCTCTTTAGTTCAGTTTAGTTTGATGGGAGATTGCATATCAACCTCCCACCCCCTCCTTCCAATAGAAGGACTTGGTGGGGGTGGGGGCTGGGGTCTCTTGATTTTCAAAGGTCTAGAAGTAAACTTTATTATAGCACTGATTTTTAAAACCTTGTTTTATTGTGTATGGCCATGGAATTATTTTTTCTTTCATGTTTTTGGAGTTAGGGGACAGATGAAACAGGGAGAAAGTTATTATTGAGTACAGTCTCTTATTACTTATTTTATCTGTGTGGTTTAGTTACCCAGGTAACTGCAGCCAAATTCTATTCTCTTTGATTCAGATTGCCAGGTGTTTCTCCTCCACCTTCTCCAAAACCTTACTCTAGCATGATTTATTTTTTTCCCTGATTATCACAGTATATAAGCTGACCTGATAGAACTCTACATAATTGCATGAACAACATATTTCTTCTGAATGTGATTCTTATGAATAAAGGTAGAAATTTTTTGACAGCCATGGAAAATAGGCTGCAGATCTGTGAGATTAACTGTTATTGAAGTTTGTTCAGTTTTGTTTTGTTTTGTTTTAAGAATGCATTTTCCTGAGAGTCCTATTTGATCCATGTTATACTTTTTTTGGTTTTTACAAATATTTTCACTGAATCACTGTATTTTGTAAAATAAGGTCCAAAATATAAATAAATTGCCAAATACTCAACTCAGTCTCTCTCTGTATGAGACATTTATTGAGTTTGCAGCTATTTATTAATTAAAAAATTTTTTTTTTTTTGAGTTGGAGTGTCACTCTGTCTCCCAGGTTAGAGTGCAGTGGCACGCTCAGGGCCACCACAGCCTCGACCTGCTGGGCTCAGGTGGTCCTTCCGCCTCAGCCTTCCAAGTAGCTGAAACTACAGGCACACGCCACCATGCCTTGATTTATTGTAGAAATGAGGTCTTGCCAAGTTGTCCAGGCTGGTCTCGAACTCCTGAATTCAGGCAGTCCTCTCACCTCTGCCTCCCAAAGTGCTGGGATTATAGGTTTGAGCCACCGCACTTGACAATTTAAAATATCTTATTTAAGCTTTGGAGAATTTCATATTAAATGCACAGATTCAACTATGATTGAAAATTTAGTGGTGCAGTCTGCACTTATGTAAAGTAAGTCTGAAGGCTACAACTAGGACATTTTGTCTATTTTAAATGGGAGAATTTTTTCCTAAAATAGGCTCTGAAGGCTCTTTTTTCCATTGGCATCTCTGCTGCTTTACTAAATACAAAGTAAAAATGTGGTTTCTCCAGTTTGGAAGGTTTCAGGATTTTATGGAGTACTTCCAAGGTAGCTATTGAGATGTGTTGCCTCCATCCACTTGGGCACTTGCTTAGACTTGTTGTCAATCAGTCCAGAAGAACACCTGCACCCCATTAAAAATGAGAATTGTCATTATCTGCTATTCTGTTGAATTGCTCATTAGTTGGGAGGATACTATTATTAGTGGCGGTAATAAGGATTTATCGAGTGCTAAAAGAGAATGGAATTATATGTCAGATTGGTTTTTGAGGTCTTTTTAAAAAAAAATTGTATTATTATCCATTTCTTTCACATAAATTCTGTAGGACCCCATATTTGTTTTCTATTGCTATCATAACAAATTATCACAAACTTCAAGGCTTAAAACTACACAAGTTTTTCATTTTACAGTTCTGTAAGTAAGAAGTCTGACATAGCTCTCATTGGGCTGAAATCAAGGTATTGGCAGTTCTCTGGAGGCTCTGGGAGATAATCCATTTCTTTGCCATTGCCAACTTCAAGAGGCCACCACCCACATTCCCTGGCTCTTGGCCCACTTGCTTCACCTTTACAGCAAGGCAAGGTTGCTTGAATTTCTCTGGTGTCATCTTTCCATCTCTGATGCTGGGAAAGGGAAAGGCTCTCACTTTTAAGGAATTACATGATTAGATTGGGCCCATATAAATAATCTAGGATAATCTCTCTATCTTTAGGTCTTTCACCTTATTCACACCTGCAAAGTCCTTTTTGCCATGTAAGGTAATATATTCACAGATTCTGGGAATTAGAATATGGATATCTTTGGGGGCGGCATATTCTGCCTACCACAGAACCTCAACATCTTTCCAGAATACTAGTTTACTAATGTAATACTTTTATGGCTATAAGTTGTGATTTGAATTAATGCTGAGAAAATTATATCACCCCTAGTTCTATCTTTTTTTCTTAGCTGCAGATTCTTACTTGCAAGTACCTGTTGAATATATTTTCTTAGATAATTTATAAATACCTAATTAGTTTTTGTTATATAACAAACCACCCCACATCTGTGGGTCACCTGGTATAGACTGGATTAGGATGAATGTCTCTGATGACTTTGGCTGATCTTGTAAGGCATTTGTGAATTTGCAGGTCAGCTGAGAATTGTCTGATGTAGCCTGGGGCTCTGTGGAGGCGGTCTCTTGTCCTCCTATCTCTGAGCTAGCCTAGGCATGTTCTTCTAATGACAATGGCAGAAATATAAACATGAAAGTGGAAACATATGAATCCTTTTTTATGGCCTAAGCTTAGAGTAGAAAACTGTTACTTCTGCTTTATTTTGTCCCCCAAAACTAGTCCCTTGACCAAATCAGGGGCCTGGGAAATATACACCTTTAGTGAGATGAACTGTGAAGTTACCTAGCAAAGGGGCTCCAAAGATAGAGGGTAAAGAATTGGGACCAATGATGTCATCTCTTCCACACTCATACTTAATGCATTCCAAATTGAACTCATCTCTGTGATTACCTCCCTCACCAAAAACCTGTTGTGCTAATTCTGGTCTTAGTTAAGGAAGCTACACTATGCCTAGTCACTCAAGTTAGAAATCTAAGTATTTTATTTTCTTCTTTCCCTATCTTCAGTATTTTCCTTGTAAATAATTCTCTAATCTGTCATCTTTCCCAGCCTTCTGACCATCAATGCTCTGGTTCAGGCTCTCTTGTCTCTTTGAGAGGAAAAGCAGGAAATGGTCTTTTTTTTGTTTTTTTTTTTTGTTTTTTTTTTTGAGTTGGAGTCTCACTCTATTATCCAGGCTGGAGTATAGTGTCATGCTCATGGCCACTGCAGCCCCAACTTGCTGGGCTCAGGTGATCCTTCCACTTCAGCCTTCCAGGTAGCTAGAACTATAGGCATGCGCCACCACACACACCTAATTTTTTTATTTATTGTAGAGACGAGGTCTCATCATGCTGCCTAGGCTGGTCTCAAACCCATGGGTTCAGACAATCCTCTCGCCTCCACCTCCCAATGTGTAGGATGATAGGCACAAGCCACTGTGCCCAGCTGGGAATAGTCTCTTAATGGTCTCCAATCCTACTTCTTTCAGATCTATCTCTTATTTTATAGCCAGAATATTCTACCTAAAATACAGATGTTTGGCCAGGCATGGTGGCTCATGCCTGTAATCCCAGCACTTTGAGAGGCTGAGGTGGGAAGATAGCTTGAGCCCTGGAGTTTGAAACTAGACTAAGCAACACAGCGAGACCTTGTCTGTACAAAAATATCAAAAAATTAACCAGGTGTGGTGGTGTTGGAAGAATTGCCTGAGCTCAAGAAGTCAAGGCTTGTGGTGAGCTGTGATCGTGGCACTACACTTCAGCCTGGGTGCCAGAGTGAGACCTTGACTCAAAACAAACAAATAAATAAAGGATATAAAATACAGATGTTACTCCTGTTCACTGACTTCTCATTGCTTCAAGGGGAGGCTTTCTGTGATCTGGATATTCCATCCATGTCTTCCATTCTTGCCAGCCTTCTATTCTGACCCCTTTAGCTCAGGAGTCAGCAAACTATGGCCAGTGGGCCAGATCTGGTCTGCTGCCTGTATTTGCATGATTCACAAACTAAGGATGTGACTTTATACTTTTTAATTATGGAGAACAGAACGATAATATTTTGTGACACATGAAGATTATGAAATTCAAATCCAGTGTTCATAAATAAAGTTTTATTGGAACATAGCTATGTTTCTACATTGATGTATTGCCTGTGGCTGCTTTTACATTACAGTGGTAGAGTTGAGTCATTGTAACAGGACTCTGGCTCACAAAGTTAAAATATTTACTATCTGGTCCTTTGTAGAAAAAGTTTGCCAACTTCTGCTCAAGTCTTATGGAACTTACAATAGCTCCCCTTGTATACCATTTTATTTCATGCCTCAAAACTTTTCATTATGTTGTTCTTTGCTGGGCTACTCTATTTTTATAAATAACAGCTTTATGAAGATGTTATTTATATACCATACAGTTCACCCTTGTAAAGTATGACTGCAAACAGTACAAAAGTACACTTAATACTTGTTGAATTAGAAAAACTATAAAGCAATCTACATTTTTGAATTAAAATAAAATTTGCCTTTTGTTTTCTCTATACATATGTTTTAAATAATATATATTGATATAACTTGAAATTTATTTTTTAGGCCTGCAAAGAAAACAAAAAAAGGTGGTAAAGAAAAAGCATCAGAGGAAAAAAAAGATGATATAGAAAAAATAAAATCATACCCCTATATGGAAGGCGAACCTGAGGATGATGTCTATTTAAAACGCTTATACCCAAGGCAGATATACGAGGTGGAGAAGGCTGTTCACTTACTTAAGAAATTTCAAGTTCTTGACTTTACTTATCCAAAGCAAGGTGTTTATCTTGATTTGACACTAGATATGGCACTGGGGAAGAAGGTATGTAGATGCATTTAAAATAAGTTTATTTGTGAATAGTGCTGATATGAATTGGTGTTTCTTAATTTTAAAATTATTACCTCCCATAATTTTTAGAAAACCTAATGTTGTCTGACTGGGCACAGTGGCTAACACTTGTACTTCTAGCATTGTGGGAAGTCAAAGCAGGAGAATTGCTTAAGTCCAGGAGTTTGAGACCAGCCTGGGCAACATAGTGAGACTTTGTCTCCACATAAAAAAAATTTTTTTAATGAACCAGGCATGGTGGCACATACCTATAGTCCCATCTACTTGGGTGACTGTGGCTGAAGGATGGCTTAAGCCTAGAACATCGAGACTGTCTGTGAGCTGTGATTGTGCCACTGTACTCTAACCTGGGGATAGAGCAAGATTCCCTAGAAAGAAAGAGAGAAAGAGAAAGAAAATCTTAGACTTTCTGTACTTTAACATGAGAAATATATATTTTTAATCATTTTCCAAATATAAAATATGTTGAAAATACTCTAGAGGGTTGATGAACATATATCTCCTATTTCTCTGAAGAGTCACTAGTATAAATTTCAACAAAAGTAGTGTTAAAATTAATTTAAGTGTTACTGTAACTTTGGAAAATGACTTAAACTCTCTGGGAATCATATTTCTTCTCTGTAAATGAGGGCTCTGGATTAGCTCAACGGCCTTTAGATATATTTCCTGGGGTTGGGGTCCTACGTTGAGACTAAGGTTGCTTGGGTGGAGTCACAAGTTTCTCACTCTTGTTTCAACCAGAGCCTTCTGCTTTATCTGTTTAAATATTGGAGTTCTACAGAAGACAATTATAAAAACTTGCAAGGAAAAACTAGAGTAGTATTGAGGTCTATTATAGTCCTATATTTTTAAAACTTCTTAAGAGATCTAATTTTTAAAACAATGATATTTTAATTTTTATTCTGAGGATGTCTTGTTTTGGCCAAGCTGGAAGGTATGTTTTTTAATTCAATCTAGCAGCCTCAGCTACAACAGTAATAGAGCCCCTAGAGGAGGCAGGACAGCACAGTGCTGGTGTGTTGGCTGTACACACCAGAATCCTGCCTTGTCACTTTTTAAGTTTGGGCTTCTTTGCTCTTTAGCATTGGGTTTATTGCTTAACCTCTTCAAATCTCAGTTTTTTAAATATTTCTAAAAAGAGATAAAATATTTAGTTGATATGGTTGTAGTGAGGATTAAAGGAGGTCATGCATATAAAGGACTTGGTAAGTGCTTAATAATAATAGTCAACATTTACTGAAAACTTTTCTACCAGCGACAGTGCTAAGTACTTTGCATGCATTTTCTTGTTTAATTCTATAATAATCTCAGAAGAGGAAGCTGAGGTATAGATAGCAAACTAACTTGCTAAAGGTCATAGAATAGGGGGCAGAGTTAAGATTTGAAGTAAGGTCTATTTTATTTCTTAGTTTTTACTTACTAGAAACAGTGTGTACCAGCCATGTTATAATTTTTATTTTGTATCATAGTGTTACTATTAAGTCTTTTATTTTAAAAATTGTGTAGCATCTAAGGTGATCACTTACTCAGTTAACCATTAATGCAGTTCATAATGATGTCTTCTAGGACCACAAGCTTTGTTTCATATATGGAAGCCACTTGTAAACTAATGCCATTGAAAATGTACTTTTGTCTTCCTAAGACGTTTTGTTGTTGTTGTTCTTCAGTGTTCCACAGAGGATGCTATTATTGGGATTGCTTACAATTGAGAAATTTACTGAAACCAGTTGTGACATGTTAAAGACAAGGGAATGTCAGTTCATAAAACTAAGTTGCATGGTGATGTAAAGTATGCTTAAGAATTTGTGCCTTTTGTCTGAAAAGAAATTCCTAGGAGGATGTCTCTATTCAAAATAAGTTTTTTTTTCTAAAACTATTATTCTTACAAAAAGGTTTATTTGGGGAACAACCTCTTTTTCTTCCAGACCTTAAAGTTGTACCCAAACTATGGAGGGCCTAAGAATTTGTTCCCAGGTGAAGTCTAAGAGCTCTGAGTGTCAGGTCTCAATAGTCCCTGATCAAAATGATTGAAGAGATTAATTCTGAGGTCCTATAAAATTTCCACCGGTATTAGATGACTCAAATGCATGCCACAGTTTATTTTGGATTTTCCAACTGACTTCCTAAATTAATCTAAAAATGATGGGTGGCTCAAGTTGTTTCAAAATAGACCCATTCAGAAGAGCCATTTAGACTTGGCATTCTGTTTTGGATTTAGGGTTTATGTTTTTTGATTGCTTAGAGCCAATAGTGGCAATTAGGGGTGACCTACAGGGCAGATCAGCTGGATATTGTCTATTATTCAGTATGTATGGCTGTATTATGTCCTCCTTGATGGTGTCAGAAAATTACATTGTTTTTAAAAAATTTAATTCAAGGTGGCAAATGGTTATTGACATTTGTCAAGTGGAAAGCATTGTACTAGGTGGTGGGGAAGATATAGAATGCAACTGTATCTCATAAAATTTAAGAGACTGTGACGAATGATGAAGAGATAGGAGCCAAGTGCCATGGGAGTGTGAAGTTGGGAAGAGAGATTTAGACTTTTCACTATAATTTCTTGAAAAAACGAATATAATCGTTTGTGCCTTAAATTCTAATCAGTGAATAGTTCTGGATTAGTGGGAGGTCATATGGTAGAATTAAGACACTAAAAGCACGGCATCTTCTTTTTTTATAGAATGTGAGAGATATAGAAATGATGAAATTTTGAAATTCTTTATCCTCTATTGTGTATTTAGAAAAAAGTGGAGCCATTTGCCAGTGTTCTTAGCTTTCCATACCCATTTGCTTCAGAAATCAATAAAGTTGCTGTATTTACAGGGGTGAGTAACTTATATCATTTAATTTTTTTAAAGAGATAACACTCATCAATGGTTAGAATAACTGAATAAATAAAGTTAGAGAAAACCCTAGCATTCACCTTCTTTTATTTTCCCCATTTGGAGCTCAAAGCAGTTATATGACCTTCTTGAGGTTACAATATTACTTTGAGAAAGAGCTAAACTAGAACATTCATTTCATTATTACTAGTTTACCACATTGTGTTTCTTACAAGAAACTATAAAAAAGTATGAACTTTCTCCTACTGACTCCTGTTCTTAGTCAAATTTCCCTCTCCAAAAAAACAGTTGGATTATTTTAAAGCAATGGGACCACTCAGTGCTGTAGTACCTCAGAAATCACAACTTTTAAAAGTATCTAGTCTGGAAAATCAATTGTCAAATATATAACAGATATAGTAAAATAGCTTTTTGTTCATCTTTTTATATTAGAAATGTTTGTTTATAAAGTGTTTATGAATTTATTTTGTAATAACTTTTAAACTAAACTTGTTCTGAATGGAGTAGCTGATGCATTTAATTAAAAATGGATTCATTTTCACTTAAAAATAAGAACCATAATTTTTTTGAACTATGATGTTATTTCTGACAAAATACTGAATGTGTTTAAAATTAAAGATTATGTTCAAACTATTGTGTTTTGATAGAATGCATCAGAGGTTAAAATAGCAGAAGAAAATGGAGCTGCGTTTGCAGGAGGAACTAATCTGATCCAGAAGGTACAGTGTTGTTTTCATGTTTATTAGATGTAGAGATTGTTATCTTTGCCATCCATTTATTTGTTACATGTTGAACAGAGGTAGTAGCTCTTCATGATAAATGGTTAGTAGGGCTTTATAGGAATAGGGACAATTTTTCACTACTTTTCACTTTCAAAAACTGGGAAAAATTATCCAGTCTGATATTGATTATATTCGATTTATAGTATGATTTTTTTCAATTTATATTATAATTTGTGTGTGTGTATGTGGCTTCCCTCTTTTTTGTCTATTAGAGTTTGGGGGTAGACTGACTCTGGTTTTGATTGTGAGATTTAAAATGAATCCAAAGGTCACACGCATGATATATCCATTCAGTTTTGAAAATCAAATATTTGTTTTGCTTTCTGGGAGTGAAAGTCTGATTCAATTAGTAGATCACAGAGGATAGTATCTAACCTCTATAACATGGTGCTTTTAGTTCCTCTTAATTTCTACCCCCTAGTCAGTTCATAGTGAAAAAGGCTCAGTGTGATAGCCACAAATGATTCTGAAGCCTGCCATTGAAAATAGCAAAGAGTTTGTGGAGCCTATTTGAAAACGAGACCATTTTTTTAAGAGGTTGGAAGAAGATGCATAGAGTTATTTCTGAAAAATACAAAGTTTTTTTTTCTTTTTAATGTTCTCTTAAAAACTCCTCTTCAAATTATAATCATGTAGATTCTGGATAATTTTTTTATTGGTAGGGAGAAGAAGAAAATAGGAAAAGTGACTTAAAAATTATCCTTTGTCCCATATCCAGATTGTCCTTTGGATAACTTTCAACTGGGCTCATCCTTTGGGATAAACAGCAGTGCTTGTGGTTTGTTTTTTTCTACCCTAAAAGTACTCTAAATTTGGTGGGGATTCTGGATTTTTAAGGAGAGCTTCCAGAATGATTTTTGGGTGCAGAACTAGTAGCAAATACGAAAAGATTATGCTTTAATACAGGTTCTAGGTCAAAGTCAGAGGATGATACCCAGTTCTTTCTGCTGTATCATTAATTTTAATTTTTAAAAATATTGTTAAAATTTGTTTAGTTATTAAAAAAATAAGCATACCACAAATGCTTGGGAATTTGGAAGTAAAGCTTGGCCTCTGGAATCAGAGAATGAGTCTTATTAAATGTGTGTACTGCCTTCCATCTACTTTTTTCCTGCAAGCACAAGAGTGTCTTGTAGAAATGTCACAGCAACTCCTTCAGTTCTCAAGTGTTAAGAAGTTACTTCTCAGCCGGGCTCAGTGGCTCAGCCTGTAATCCCACGCCTTTGGGAGGCTGAGGTGAGTGGATTGCCTGAGCCCGCGGGATCGAGACCCGCCTGGGCGGCAAGACCTCATCTCTACAATAAATCAAAAAATCAGCCGGGTGTGGTAGCTCATGCCTGTAATTCCGGCTACTTGGAAGGCTGAAGTGGAAGGATCGCAGGAGCCCAGCAGGTCGAGGCTGTGATGGCCGGAAGCGGCCACTGCACTCCAGTCTGGGCGACAGAGTGAGACTCCAACTCAAAAAAAAAAGAAGTTACTTCTCAAGCAAGAAATGGTAATGGAGCAGAAAGTGTTATGCAACCATGCATTCAGTAAATGAAACACATTTTTAAAAGTAGCCCAGATACATTTTGAAGTTATTTGGTACATAAAATATTATAAGTACAGATTTTCTCTTCAAGGGCTCAGTGATGATCTGTTATTAGAGAGAACATGTCACCTGTATAAGGCATCATAAACAGTATTTTATTGCAAGTTATTCCATGGTATCTTTTTAAGCTAGTCCATGTTATTTTTAGAAGTCATTCAGGTTATGAAGTAAATTCAGTATAATTCTGTAAATAGTATCATCACTATAGTTTTTTTAAACAGTCCTACATTTTAAAATTAGTTTACTATTTTGCTTAGCTCTTGTAAAATGTAAAGTAGGATACATTTACTGAACTTTTAGTCATTTCTTAGATAACACATATATTCATTTTGTTTTATTTTGAAATATCACGGGTATGCCTGGTTCTGAGAAATTTTAAAGTAATTGTATGTTTTTGTCTCTAAAAGCATGAATTCCATCTGCAGTTCTATATTATGTCAAGATGTGGTCTTAAGGTTAATTATAGCATAATTTCCAAACATAATTTTAAGTTTAATTTAAGGAAATATGTCATAGAATTAGTATTGGAAGGTCTGGGAATAGAAGTCTGACAGACAGTTCTTTGACATTTCAGAATTGCCTGTGCTTTCACATTTCCAGCCCTGGCTCAAGCCACACTGCCTGTGTTTGAATCCTGGCTTTGCCTCTTGCAAGCGCATAGACTGACTCATCCTCCCTGAGTCCTCAGTTTCCTTATCTAGAATGTGTGGTCAAGATTAGTACCTGCCTCATAGGGATGTTGTGAAAACTGGATGAACTAAGCTATGTAAAATATTTAGCAGAATGCTTGGCGCATGAGAAATGCTCATTTAATATAAATTGGTATTGTTAAGGAGAGCATAGTATGTTATTTAAGGAGTGAAGAATTTGTAAAAAGAATAGGAAGATAAAATTCTATAATCACTGCTTAATCTTGGCAGAGTTCAAGTTTTTAGGGTTCACTACGTAGCTATAAACCAAAGCTTTGAATGACATATTGTGGTAGGATTTAATGTAAAAACAATCATTAGTGAAATATTTTTTGCCCAGGCAGTATTGTTCTAAAAAGTTGCTTCAGTTTATAGTCGACTACTTTTTTTTTTTTTTTTTTTTTTGATTTGGAGTCTCACTCTGTCACCCAGACTGGAGTGCAGTGGCCGCTCCCGGCCACCGCAGCCTCGACCTGCTGGGCTTCTGCGATCCTTCCGCCTCAGCCTTCCAAGTAGCCGGAATTACAGGCATGCGCTACCATGCCCGGCTGATTGTTTGATTTATTGCAGAGATGAAGTCTCGCTGCCCAGGCGGGTCTCGAACCCGCGGGCTCAGGCAGTCCACTCACCTCAGCCTCCCAAAGGTGCGGGATTACAGGCTGAGCCACCAAGCCCGGCTGACTACTTTTTTTAATAATGTAATAGTTTAATAATTATTTTGGGTGCTTGCCTGAATTAATAAAACATGTTTTCCAAAAATTGAATATTAACCTCTTTGCTCTGAGAATGGAAATAGAGTAGGGTAATAAACTATAAATGAACTTGTCTTTGACCTCCCCTCCTTAATTTTATTTTTAGTTATTGATGGCAAGGAGAACTTTAGTTTCAGTTCTTTGCGAAAATAATTTTAGATTCAGTTCTCTTGATGCTCTAAATTTAGGAAGCTAGTGGTTGGTTATTAATTTGATATGTGATCTAATGCAAAATTTTTAACTTTTGTAGTTCTTTTCTGTTTTAATTGACATGAATTCAACTTGGTGGTATTGTATGAACCATGTACATACACATCAGAGCTATGTTCTAACTTGTAACACTTTTGCCTAACATAACCTCATGGAAGATTAAAACCATTAAGTATATTTTTTAAAATGAATGTGACTTTTTAAAATAAAATATTTGCTTCTGAAGGTTTTTACATTTAGTAAATGTATTCATATGATCCTTATGCTTGAAGAAAATAATTGTCCTTAATTCCTATTTACTGAATTATAAGGGAAATTACTACATTATACCTTTTTTTAGAAGGATAAAGCTTTTCATGTAATCTACGGTTACCTCTTTTTTTTTCTCTCATTTTCAGATTTTGGATGATGAAATTCATGTAGACTTTTATGTAGCTGTTCCAGAAATAATGCCTGAGCTTAATCCATTAAGGAAGAAACTGAAAAAAAGATTTCCAAAGCTTATTCGAAGTAAGGGCAAATTCTTTTTATTATTTCAATATGCTATCAACAACTTTCTTCTCAACTTTGTTCAGTTAGGAAGCAAAGTTGTTGATATATATGTAGAATAAATATTATATCCTGATACTGAGTTCAGTGTTATATGAGAACATATGGATTTGATTTTTTTTTTCTTTTGGCATTAATATTGGTAATCTAATATAATTTGAAAACTAAGTGACTTTATAATATTGATTCTTTAAATTTAGATCATAGTCCTAGCTCCAAATTAATGGAATATATTATCTACTATTTATGTTGTCACCATACTATTTTACTGACTTTTAACTCTTTATCAATATATATGCTCATTTATTTAAACATTCATCATATATATTAATGCTGACTGTGCATGACTCTGGAGGTAATTTCCCTTAAGGAATTTTCCTGTTAAGGATATTATGTGCTTTACAATGTCTAATAAGAGATAAAGTTGCACATGAACAGCCATATTGTAAAAGTTTGAGGTATTATATGATAAACTCACAAGGTGCTATGGTTGTTCAGTGAAGGAAGAATTTACACATAGATGGAGAATTAGGCAAAGCATTATAAAGGAGATGACATTAATTGAATGAATTGATTAAGGAGAATATTATTTAAAATAGAAGAAATGTATTAATCGTGGACACTGAGGTAACTCAGAAACTCAGAACTTGTAGACCAGGTACAAGAAATATCAACGAGCTCTCTGGGCATAGGGAATGGTACCCCTACATTGAAACTGAAGAGGGTAATGGGAAATGTTGTTAGAAAGGTAGATTTATGCTGTATTGGGAAGGATTTTGTATGATGGACTAATGAGTGTGAACTTTACTCTATATTCATCAGTAATCTTTGAGAGGTTTTTGAGGTGGGGAGTGATATAATCTGTTCTTTAGAGCTTTAATCTGGCAAGAGTTTGTAAGATGTATTACCATGAATAGAAAGTAGAGGCAGGGAGACCAGTAAGAGTGCAATTGCAACCAACTAGTTGGGCATAGACAGCTTGAGTGGGAGAAAGGGCAGAGTCAAATAATGCTGAGATTTTTTAAGACTAGGAACCTCTCCTAATAAGAACTTTCATCAGTGGAAACAGGGAGTACATTTGGGAGGAAAAACAAAAGTTCACTCGTCAACACAGTTTGTTTTAAGTAGTGCTGACTGTCTGGTGTATATAGGTGTTATTTTTATTTTTTTGAGGTGGGGTCTCACTCTCTTGCCCAGGCTAGAATACAGTGGCATCATGGCTCACCATAGTCTCAACCTTGTGGGCTCAGGAGAGCCTTCTGCCTTAGCCCCCTGAGTAGCTGGGACTATAGACATGTGCCACCATACCTGGCTTTTTTTTTTTTTTTTTTTGGTGGAGATGAAATCTTATTTTGCCCAGTCTGGTCTCAAACTCCTAGATTCAAGCAGTCCTCCCACCTGGGCTTCCAAAGTGCTGGGATTACAGGCATAAGCAACTGTGCCTGGATGATAGGTGTTATTTTGAATAAAATTTTGTATTATAAACAGAACAAATGTTTTTAAATTGTTTTGGTAGATTTGCTTTCAAATTTTAGCTCTCGTTGAGCTAAAAAAAACCTGCTAAGATTTTTTTTTTTTTTTGAGTTGGAGTCTTACTCTGTCACCCAGACTGGAGTGCAGTGGCTGCTCCTGGCCACCGCAGCCTCGACCTGCTGGGCTCCGGTGATCCTTCCACCTCAGCCTTCCAAGTAGCCAGAATTACAGGCATGCGCTACCACACCCGGCTGATTTTTTGATTTATTGTAGAGATGAGGTCTCGCTGCCCAGGCGGGTCTCGATCCCGCGGGCTCAGGCAATCCACTCACCTCAGCCTCCCAAAGGCGCAGGATTACAGGCTGAGCCACCAAGCCCAGCTGCTAAGATTTTTATACATGCTAGCCGCTAATACTTGTCTGAATTCTAGATCATGATCGGTAACAAATTCAAATGGTCTCTCTAGTTCTTTTGTTGTACTAGAGTTTTGCTTGATTATTTTTGATAGCCTGCATTAAATCACACATCCTTATTAGATTTTAGACTGCTATTTGGCACTTTTTATTAGAGATTTCCATTTCAGTAGTGTTTGTTGTCATGAAATCACATTTATATGCTTTCTTTTTTTAAAATTCTTTCTTAAGAAAGACCTGAGACTGAGCATTATTTTAAAAATTAAACCAGAATTGCAATTGAATTTGGTGAAAATATATTTTATAATTTTTTTATGTCTAATTAGATTCAAGCTCAAGTCAGAGTGAAATAAACAGTACTAAATATAGTCAAAACTGAAAACGAATACTGAATCTGTGTGTCTTTATCTGGCTCCTTGCATTGCATGGTGAACTGATTTTTCACAGACATTAATTTTGTTACCTTTGCTACTTTATGCATTCTTGTATGACCCTTTTTGCTTCTTTTTTCTTTAGCTATGAGAATTTATTATTAGCACCGTCATTGCTAAATTTGTGACTATTGTTGTTTAGTTTTCAGATAACATCTTTTTATTCCAAAATAATATGTTTCCTGTAAAATTTTTATTTTATTTTTACTTTATTTCTCTTTTCATAATGAATCACAAAATTGCATATCATGGGTTTTACTTTATTTCTCTTTTCATAATGAATCACAACGTTGCATATCATGGTTAAGTACTTAGCATGCCCCCCCAACCCCATTTGCTTAACAAGGCATCTTAAAAAAGCAGACCTTTCCCCTTAGCTAACATTTTCTTTTCACCCCCACACAATCTCTTTAACACCACTGGCAAAACATTTGTGTTCGTTAAACATGAAAACAAACGATTAACCTGTCAAAAATGTTAAAAAAGGATATGTTAGATGTGCATTAGAACAAATAGAGCTTATATTATGCATTTTCAGAGCTTGTTCATATTCTTGTTTAAGAACATTTGATTCTCCTTATATCCAACAAAATTCTTTAGGGTGAAATAGAAATTATGTTTTGAGCAAGAGGATGAAATTAAAAAAAAAAGCCAAACAAACCCCTGCAGCTGAGCTCGTCAGTTCCTCATTAGTTTTACTAATGTGAGTGGGTGTGTGCACATTTTGCAGCATGTTTAATGTTGCAGTTTGATTCGTTTTCGGTTAATTGCTTACATAACTGTAGGCTAGTTCTCTATTTTTCTAATGCACATTTGACTTGTTTTCGCAGTATTTCTTTTTTGTTTCATTAAATGAAAACATTTAAAACTTGCTTTTAAAAATTTCTTGGAAGAAATTTTACTTCATTTGGCTTCTTACCTGGCTTCCCCTCAACATAAATGCCCTCTGAATTTCTTTCATCTCTAATAGAGATATGTTTCATTGATTAGCATTTTTTAAATTTCTAATTTTTTTATCATTTATTGTCTACTAAACCAAATATACTAGTATGAAAAAATACCTTAATGGTGTCATTTTTCTATTATGCATATTAATACATGGTAGGTGCTATGGCATATGGAAACAGGATTATTTTAAAACATACTAAGTTATTTGTGAGGGAAAGGGACATGATCAGAAAAGTTATAATTACACTAATGTGTATTCCTCTTAACTTGTAGCTCTTAAAATTGATACCAGTGCTCCAGTTGAAGTCTTGACCAAGGGATATTCACTCTACTGGGCATGACAGTGCTTTCTGTAAGGAAGTTGGTATTATATCATACATGAGACTCATGGATGTTAAAATTCTCAAAATTTAATGTGAAGTATTTTTTAACTCATAGAATAACATTTTGTACTTCAGAATATTGTTTTCATTATTGGAACAATTAGAATTATTTGGTTATATAAAGAAAAATACTGAAACATAGAGAATTTTTGCAATGTAATCAACTTGAAATTTTTCTAAAGTTTCCTCCTCATGTATTAGTTCAAAAACTATTCCTGTGTGAAAGACTCCACTACTGATTAGGTGCTGTAATAGTTACTGTAGATGATCTTGGCCATGTAACAACTGGCTATGTTATGCTTTCCTTTGTTTTCTTTCCTTTAATCTTAGTGGCCTCCCTGCTCTTCTTCACACACACTCCATGCTCTCCCTCCTCAGGTTTTTTGGGAGTATTCCCGTGTCTGCAGTACTCTTTGCTTACTTCCTGGCTTACTTTCTTATTCAAATATCACCTATGTAAAGCACTATCCCTCACTTTCCATTATCGCTAGATAATTATGCTTTTGTATTCTTTTCAGGACTGTCACTCTTGGCATTTTAGTTTTTTTTTTTTCATTTGTGGTGTGTGTTCGGTCCTCATTAATGCAAGGGTGGTTTGGTTTTGTTCGTTGCTATATTCCCATGGCCTAGAATAGAACCTGGCACACAATGTGTACTCTACAAATATTTGTACAAGAAATGAACATTTAATACACCATTCACTTGGTAGAAGATAAAGAACTAAATTGCAGCTTAAAAGAGACTACTTAGAATTTACAGATTTGGGGAAATTACAGTAATTTATGCATGGTAATTGAGTATGTACTGTATGCCCAGCCTTGAGTGTGATGGCTGTGAACAAAACAGATAAGGTCCTTGCTGTCATAGAACTAACAGTTTTGTTTTCTGTGGTAGACAGACTGGTTTAACTTTAGCATTTAATTATGCTCAGATTTTTCTAGTTAAACAAACAAACAAAAAACAAATCACAACTTCCCAAACTTCATTTGATTCAGCTATACTTTCTAGTTAAGAGCTTTCTGTTATTTTATACTAGGTTTTCCAAATAATTGTTTTCAGCAATTGGCTATCTCCATTTTCTTACCAAAAGTTATTTTTTCTTACAACCTTTTCTTCCATGATTTAGCTTAAATGTTGCTCTCAGTTACAATCACAGATCTTGTTTTTGCCAGAGTCAAAGGTCTGTTCTTAGTTTTCTTTGTTTCTTGAAATTTTCTTTTCATATACAATCCTAATTTGCTTCCTTTCTCACTAATTATTCCTTCTTTGTCATCCCTGACTAAAGAAGAAAGAAAAGGTATATCAGAGTGAAA